AAGTAATACTAAATAGCTAGAAAAAGAAAGATGTAATACATTTGAATAATTTACTAAATTAAACCTATGATTCATACAATCTATATACCTGTCACAATGTGAAAGTAATGCTTTTGAGGTCACAGGATCACCATTCAATAGGATGCGACAATCATTGGCACATTGTTCCAAACTAACCATATTATTATTATCCATGGTAATAACTGCATGCCTGTCATGAATGCTGTTAAAGTATAAATAAGCATTAGATTAAAATCATAATACCCAAAAATTACCATTATTGAACTACTGCCTCTAATAAGCATTACATTAGAATCTTAATACTCCAAACTTACCATTAATTTAAAAACTGCATAAAACTTCAGTTGAATAATAATATTGTTTGTTTACTAATGCACAAACTTGTAAGTTACAATTTATTACTAGGTTTAAAATTCAAAAACACCAAGCAAAATATTAAAGAACTTTGCACCTGAGCCTGTTACTTATTAATTTTGACAAGATGCTGTTACTAATTAATCATAAAAATGACTGTTTGTTTCCTGAAATAAACAGACAAAGCATTATCTGATGGTCTGTTTACTAACTCTTATTCGTATTACTGATATAAAATGGCTGTTAACATACACAGTATTCATTAACTTAAAATCTTATTTAAATGTTTATTTAAAGGTATTTTACCTTGGTCCAAAGAGAATAATGTCAGCATCACTCTTCCCAATCGCATTATCTCCTTCTTTGATAATATGAATAATTTTCCCTGATAGTTGTGGGTCAAAGTTCAGGTTAGCTAAGTGTGGATGTTTTTTCTTTTCCTCTTCAATTTTCGCTCTGTCATCATCCTAATGAGAACAAAGGGTAGTAGCACAAAAACAAACACTTCTTGCCCAAATTCATGCAGTCTTTTATCTTAATATACCTTGTAAACAAAATACAAATAATTATTTTTTATGAAACCTTTTGTTACATAATCTTGAAAACCGAACAAGCAAATAGTATAAGGAAAAATAAATAAATAAAAATCTGTGACAGGAATTTAGTTTTTAAAGGAAAGAAACTTTACCAAACTGGGGTGTTCAGGAATATTAATATCGTTTTTGCCGCATTCACATTAAATTATTTGCTGAGTTTGTGGTTTGGTTTGTTTTGAATTTTGTGCAAAGTTACAGGAGGGCTATTCGTACCCTAATTTGGCAGTGAAAGATTAGAGGGAAGCTAGCTAGTCATCACCACCCACTGCCAACTCTTGGGCTACTCTTTTATCAATCAACATCACATTATAATGCCTCAATGTCTGAAAGAATGAGCATGTTTGGTAGGATGGGGATTCAAACCCACGACCATCAGATTGTGAGTCAAGCACCCTAACCATGTGGCCATGCTGGGCCTGCTGACTTTGTGAACTTAATAAATTTTGAAAGAATGATTGGCTGTGTAACTATGGAAGATTTGATGTCTAGAGATTGGAGAAATGTCTGGATGGTCTGGAGGCAGAGGGAAGATCAATGCTAAACACTTTGTTAAAGAAAAGAGAAGCAAGGCAACAAACATTTGACAAACCACATCATAATAAACTTCCCATGTTCAGGGTCACTAGGTGGCTGGGATCTGTAAATCCAATGCCAAGGCTGGGATAATTAAATCCAAGTGCCTTAGAGTTTGATGTGGAGGGAAACAGGAGTGCCCTGAGAAAATCCACTTTCACAGGACTGGAGCCAACATAAAGGTAAAAAAAGTAAAAGAAATAATATTAAAAATGTTGCACATGTAAAAAAACTTGCATACAGGCTGTAGTGTAAATATCAAAGAAAAAGAAATTAATGTTCCTGATAATTTTTTAAAACCAATTAATATGGTAAAGATACATCTTTTTTAAGAAACACACATACAAACATTTATATATGTACATATATACTTTTCATACAGTATTTTACATTAAAAATTATTAATTGTGCATCTATGTTTTTTATTTGTAGTAACAAGATGCTAAGTATGATAAAGTTTGACTGATTAATTCTTCACAATAACAAAACTTAAAACACATCGTTCATCTAATGGGTTAACTTACAAAATTAAACAGATAAATAATTATGTATATTTATGCACATATGATTTATTTTATCAGTTATGGCCTACCCTAAAATATGTAGATCTCTAAATTATGCTCATGTGCATATTAGCCACAGTTTTCATTATACATCTCACAAAACAATTAACCCTATGTGAGCGTGGGGGTATATGAGGTGCACACTTTTGCTTAGCCGCACGGGATCTTTTCTTATTAATAGAGTAAAAATCAAGTTTCTTCATTTAAACCTCTGCCTCTTCAGCTCTGTTCTTTGTTTTGGTTCTTTATTAGTTCTGAGATATGTGTCATCTCTATCACAGTTTCCAAAGTTAATTATGTTTTAATTTGCAATTTTTGTGACAGTTCCTTATCTAAGACTCCTGTTACTGGTGGCCTTAAAATCTTCCTTTAACTCTTACCAGCAATTGAAGTAAGAGGCTTTCTACACATGTCAACAGTAACAATAAATGTATATGTATGTATATACAAACTTACTATACAGTGTTAAACAATAAGAGTTTGTAACTGTACATCTACATTTTCATTTGTTTTAGTAACAAGATATTTAGAATGATAAAGACTAACTGATCAATTTTTCACAATACTGAAACCTACAAAACTAAACACACAAGAAAGAATATAGTATATTTATGAACATCTAACTGATTTTGTACATTGCACAGAGCACTTCTAGGATAATCAGAATTTGTAACATTATAGCTATGATAAGGTAAAATCACCCACATAAATAATGATTTGCAATTAAGGTATCTGATAATTACTCATGAACTGAAATGTAAAAATAGCTCAGTTTGTCTCAGTTCCCACTTTGAAATGACTTGCAGGGGAAAAATGTTACTATTCTCACCTGGAGTAATGCAATGGCTCCTATGTATTGTAGTTGGAGGGGAGTTTTGTGTCTTGCTATGAGCAAAGGCACTACAGTGGGTGTCTGGCATAAAGGTCAGCCTTGTAAAGTCTGTTTTTAACAATCTTTACAATGACTATGTACAGTTTCAGCTTTGTTCACATCTTTATCATAGTACCATTAGTGTTGTAGCAGTTTCACATTCTGATAACAACATTTGAAGACATTTGTAGTAAATTTCCAACAGCCTGCTGTGACTGATAAGTATACTTTCTTAAATGGTTCTCCAAATAAGTTAAATATCCAAATACCTTCTTTGAGTTCTTGACCATGTTTTATGAATAATCTAAAGCACTTTAACATCTATGGGTCATTTGAAAGTAATTATCAGTATCAGATACAATATTTACATAACAATGAAGTTAAGCAGGTGATTATTAACATTATTTATTTGGGTAATTTTGCTTTATTATAGCTATATTAGAATTTTTGATTATCCTAGAATTGTTCTGTGCAATTTGTGACCAGATTATGACAATGAACTGTAAAGTTTCTGGAATGTAATAAATTCCACCATGATATTTTAACATGACACAAATATTTAAAAAAACATTTATATTAAAATAATTATATACTATCTACACAGTCAATACAGTAGAGAAAAGTACATTATGAATAATTGTTACCATAAGCGCAAGTACTAAAAGCTATATATATATATGATTGATGATTGTTTAAAGAAACTACAAATCAAGTTAGGGTACTGATTAAAATGGCTAATCAGTATGTTAATATTAGACTCCTGTACATTTTTAATAATGTAAAATGTTGTTCACATCTAGCTTATTTCATATCATAAAAGGATACAAGCACAAAACAGAGGAACTGTTCATTTGAAGTATTGTGGGAAATACCTTGAGGGTGCTCACTTACAGTTTTTGAATCATTACCTGAGCAAGTGCCAGATTTTGGAGAAAGAGTGGCATTAAGAAAGTTTTTAATGTGTTCAACCACTCTTGTAGGATTGCACTGTGTTTTTAACTAAAGCAAAAAAAAAGAGCAAAGTACTCATATAATTAACATGTGAATGGCTTGTTGAGGCCATAGGTTAATCAGATCAGTTTAAGTCAAACATGTTTGCAGGCTGTTTTGAATGTAATCAAATAAAGTGTCAAATTAAAAACAAAAATCATATTGCTTCAGGTTATGACAACTTACCTCTTTCTGTTGTGTCTCAGCTTGTTTTAGTTTTTCTTCATAAGTCTGTTTCATTTGCAGAAGTTCACGCTCGTTCTCTGCCATCTGGGCCCTCATCTCTTCTTCTAGCTTCTTTAACTTTGCAATTTCTGAAAGAATTATTTTTGTATTTCTTTTATTAATACTTTAACATAATTCTAGCTTCTTGAATTGCTAAGTAATATACACATGTGTGTATGTATGCATATATATACACACTAGCTGAAGTAACCATCCACTGGAGGAAAGATATGTAAATGCATGATTAATGTTATCTTAGGACATGAATAGTTGCTTCTCTTATATGTAATTGTAAAAAATGCACAAATGCCCATAAAAACTGGAAAATGCAAAATGTGGAACCACAAAATTCCATGTATCTCCTCGTGGACCCAACAAACCTTCATGCCAAATTTGGTAAAGATCCATCAACAAGGGATGAAGTAGTGGTTAAAAATGCAAAACACAAAATGTGAAACAGCAAGTTTGTATGTATCTTTGCATTGACCCAACAAACCATCATGCCTAATTTGGTGAAGATCCATCAACAAAGGGCGAAGTAGGGTAAAAAAACGCAAAAACTCCCATAAAAATCAGAAAACACAAAACTGAAAATTTGTATGTACCCCTTCATGGGCCTAATGAACCTCCAAACCTATTTTGGTAAAGATCCATCCACATTCTGCAAAGTAGATACATGGACATACAACAGACAGTACTATTATATTTATATAGATACATGAAAAATAAATTACTTTATGCCTACTGAACCAATATACAATTCAAAGAAGTCTATACCCATATCAATAAAGTATGAATATTAGATGTAACAGGTAATAAAGAAATGATTCTCCATCTAAATTTAATATATTATGAAGTTTATCTATGATAAACAAACTTCAATATTTAGAAAGTTCAAGCCAGATACACAGTTTTCACATTACATTAACATTATATATTTAGGCAAAATAGTTTTGAATGACACATTGATATATATATATATA